GTTTGCAAACTGACAAAATCCATTTATTGACTAAAACAAGCATCTTGTCAATGGTACTATAAATTTCATCAAGTAATTCTCTCATTTGACTTCGAGATGAATATTGTTGATGATTATGTGTATCACAAGTTTAAAGAGGGACAATTTTAGTCTCAATCAGTGCTCAAAGGGGAATTTGGAAATTGAGGAAATGCAAAATATTCCCTATGCATCAGCTGTAGGAAGTTTGATATATACCCAAGTATGTACACGTCCAAACATAGCATACATAGTTGAGATTCTAGGCAGATATTTAAGTAATCCAGGAATGGACCATTGGAAAACAGTAAAAAGGGTCATGAGATATTTAAAGAGAACAAAAGATTATATGTTCACATACAGGAGGTCAGATCAGTTTGAGATCGTTGAGTTTTCTGACTTGGACTTTGTAGGATGTCAAGATAGTTTGAAATCCACTTCAGGTTGCATTTTCATGTTGCCAGGTGGTGTAGTTTCTTGGTGCAATGTCAAGCAAACCCTTACATCTTCATCCACTATGACAGCAAAATTTGTAACATGCTATGAAACATCAAATCATGGAATATGGATGAGAAATTTTGTCATAGGGCTGCAAATTGTGAAAGACCACTTAAGTTATATTATGACAACAAATCAGCTGTATTGTTAAGGAAAAAGTACAAAATGGACAGATTTCCATAGAACAATTAGGGACAACCTCCGTGAGAGCAGATCCTCTAACTAAAGGACTTCCGCCCAAGGTCTTTCATGAGCATGTTGCTCAAATGGGTGTTTTACAATTTGATGAATTTGTGGTTTAGTGGGAGTTACTCATTTTTATATATTTTATGTTCTATGTTTAATTTCATATATGTATACATTGATTTTTTGGACATATTTGGCTATCTATAGATATGCAGTTTTTTCGTTCATTCATTACACTTTGTATATTAAGGATATTGCATTGATCTCGATAAGTTAAAGTTTGAACTAGTTGAAAATAGACATGTACAGATCACCTTCATGTAATTTTTCATGCTACACATTTCATGATGAATCCATGTCATTTGGTTATGTCAGGATGAGTAATCATTGTTGGTTTTAGTTGCGATGATACAATGAAAAACTGGTTTGGTTCTATATCCTGATATGATCAATGAACGAGACTTTTGGAGTATGCTTAAGGAATATAATGACAATTTTGAGCTCATAAAGTCTAACACATTTGTAAGGTTGTAAGGATATATATAATATATATATATATATATATATATATATATATATATATTTGTGACCAGTGGGACATTGTTGACAAATTTTGGGTCATGTATATATATGATACATAATTTAAATGTGTTGGGCCATTATTTATTAAGCCAAATAATAAAGTGATCTGACTAAATTAAAGTTTTAACTAAAGGCATATGTCATGAAAATAAAATTGTGTAAAGACCATAGAGCAATTTCTAATTTGATGAGGGGCCAAATTAGAAATATTAAAACTTAAGTAATTAACCTAATTCTGGTTATTTTAAGGGGTCATGGTCCCCTTCTGGGAGCACGTAGACAAAACATAAGTTTCACTCCCGTTCCTTTCTTTTTATCCCCATCAAGAGAGAAAATCAAGAGGGAAATACATGTGCTCTTCAGGTGGAGGACCATAAGATCAATATAGTGCTCTACAAAGACATCATCACTATGGCTAATTCAGGTATGCTTTCGCATTCAGTTTACAACATGTTTATCAATATGAGATAATGTTTATGTTTGATAGTTAGAATCAAAATCAGGATCATAATTATTATTAGTTTTCCAACAGATTCATGTCTAATCCAGAAAGAAAGCATTGGGAAGCTGTCAAGTAGTTATTACACTACTTGAAAGGTACTTCTAAAACTGCATTATGTTTTAAAAGAAATGATGTCATTTTAAAAGGATATTTCGATGCAGATTTGAGAGGTTGTTTAGACACAAGGAAGAGTACTACAGGATTTGTCTTCACAATAGGTGGCACAGCAGTTAGTTAGATGTCTCGACTTTAGAAAAGTGTTGCACTTTCAACTACAGAAGTAGAGTACATGGCTATTTCGGAAGCCAATAAGAAAATGATTTGGCTGAAGAATTTTCTTGAGGAGCTAGGTAAGAAGTAGTGTGACAATAATCTTTATAGCGATAGTCAGAGTGTCATTTATCTTGCAAAGAATCCTGTTTTTCATGCAATAACAAAGCACATCCAGATAAGGTATCATTTCATCAGATGACTAATAAGTTATGGTACTTTGTTTTTGGAGAAGATCCTTGAGTCAGAGAATCCTGCACATATGTTGACCAAAGTGGTTACTACTGAGAAGTTGAAGTTTTGCATAACTTCAACTGACCTTCATGGTTAATTGTTGAAAAGACATTGTTATAACTTTGAGGTTTACTAGATTTACTTTGGAGTGTACTTGATGTGATCAGTCTCAAAGTGGGAGATTGTTAAGTATGTGGAGTCTGAATGATTATTAAGTCTGACCCATCTACTTATTATTTTATTATAAGTACTCATGTAATTATAAACCTAATTGTGTGAATAAAAACTATTATCTAGTGCGATCGTGAATGTATGCATATTGCATGTTAATATAAATAAATCAAGTTATTGTTTCAAGTATTTTAAGATCGATTTCCATTATCAAAACATTATATTACACAAATTAGAAAAAAATAAATAAGATTTTTTCGTTCAATATTTTTAGTAGTTTGTAGGTTATTATTTATATTATATTATATTATATTATATTATATGATGAAGTTTAGCATTTAAGTAATTAGTAGTTTAATTGTTGTATTTTAAATTATTACCTATTGAAAATTTAGAATTTGAAGTGTATGTGATTAAAATATATTTACAATTTTTTTGTTATAAGACAAAATAAATCGAATATTAAAAAAAATGAAATGTAGTAATATCCAATCTAAATTTTATTTCATTTTTTAATTTTTAAAACTTTTTACGTGAATTTCTTTCTTCTTCTTTTTTTATTCATAAATTAATATTAGTTGTCCATGCGTATATAAATTAACATCAATTTGTATGTTTATGTATAAATTAACATCAATTTTTATGTTGAACATAAATTTAAGTTATCCACAATAACATCAAATTTATATTTAATATAAAAAAACTAAAATAACATACATAAAAAATCATAACTAACAATGGATAAAACAACCAAGTCATTTTCATTCTTTATCTATATTTCAAATTCGACAAAATACTTAACTAAAATCGGAGATAAAATACTTAAAATTTATTTACTTATAATAAGAATTATTAAAATTATAAGCATAGGATAATTTTATCTTGTTTTATTAATTTTATGTTAATATATAAGTATTTCTCTAAATTGAATGTTTATCCATTTCATATCTAAAACATGTTATGTATGTAACAACGTCTCTTGTGTCGCTTCTTACAAGTAATACATTATAAATAATACATTGAAATTTTCATTTTACTTTAAATGAGAATTTTTATTTCACAATATTTTTAATCAACTAAGATTTACTATTATAAATATGTGATTACAGTCTTTGTAAACGAAAAAGAGGTGAATGAACGATGGGGGAGGGGAGGAGGTTTAAAAAAAAAAAACTAATTTCTTTAATAAAAATTATAAGATGAAAATTAAAATAAAAACAATTTTACATAAATAAAAAATATTCAAACAAGTATTTAATATTATTGTTATTTTGAAAATAAAATAAAAAATATAAATGTTTCTATATTACTATCTTAAATTAACGCTACAAAATTCTCTTGAATTTTTATTTGTTTCCTATATACTACAAACCTAATTTTTTCTGCCAATGTTCTTGTAAAAAAATTGTTTAAATTTATAGAAAAAATTATTTCTTGCAATTTTTACAAAAATTTTACCAAAATATTCCCATGAAAAATGAGAATTTTTAGTAGTGTATTTTCTTGTTGAATAATGTTGTTAAAATTTTAGAAATTCTTATCATTACATAAATAATTTAGTTGTTTATAAGATATGAATTTTAATGTAATTATTTATAAGATATAAGTATTTTGAAGCACTTTTAACATTTTACCTTGGAGATGTTCCAATATTAATCTTATAATGCAGTAATAATTATTCTTTTTTTTTTATCTTTTTCGTTTTTACTCCATCTTCTCTATGGTGCAATCTTTTTTCTTTTCTTGTAGCATTTTCCATTACACTATTTATTTTCCCATGCAAACTATTACGATCACCCTAAAACTTTTCCTTTTAAATTTTGTAGATAAAATTATGTTTTGATATCCCTGCTAAAAAATTAAAAATTGTATTAAACGCTCCCTTATACATGTTTTGCGTCCTCTGTTAAAGAAATTATCGATTGATTGATATACATCACATACAGATTGCTCGATGTGAGGAGACATAGGACGCGTTAACCAAGACATCATCGTCTTGTTGCAGCGCTTCCAAGCATCATGAAGAGGATCCCTAGATGAAGGGCGTTCCAAGAACAAATTGCTCCTTGTTCTTGGTTTCAAGACAACAAGCGTACCATGCTTCCATTGGAAATTATTTTCAGAAAGAAGCGGAATAATGAGAATAATTGTTGGATAAAGAGGATTTGCAGTATTTACAAGATGATGAGAAACATTGTTGCGATTCACCATATTGTTGAACTCAACTATCGATGAGAAGAAGAGGATCAGAATTGCGTTTGCGGAAGGACAATGATTATACCTTGCTAGTGAAAAGACAAGAGAGAGAAGAAACAGAATTAAACTTGTAAAAGAAAACTGAGTTATTGAACATACCCAAGTATTTAAAAGTATTTGGTTTATATACAGGAGAATAACTGTCAACAAACTAACAACAAACAGATAAAACTAACCCTAACTCTAAGATGAGTAGAATAAATAACAATATAACAACCAAACGAAAATGAACGAAAATAGTTCATTCATTATTCTAATACTTATTCATAAACATCACATGCTTTCATACATAAGAAGTAAGAGATAGACGTGGTTTAATAAGAATCTCAAGGGGAGTGGTTTTGGTGTTGGTTAATCCAAAGGTTTCGGACATGTCAATAGGAGCATTTGATGGACTTGAAATTTCAAAAGAATGCAGAAAAGTAGCAAGAGTTAAATGCACCATTTGAAGGCCAAAGTATATTCCAGGACACATTCTTCTACCACTTCCAAATGGTAATAGCTCAAAATGACGACCATTGATGTCAATATCTTTGTGTGTGGTAAGAAACCTTTCTGGTTTGAACTCCAACGGATCCCACCAAACACTAGGATCTGTGTGAATCTTCCAAAGATTTGTGATCAAACGAGTTCCTTTTTTTATATTATAGCCACTTAAAATGCAATTCTCTGTGAATTCACGAGGTCCCGAGAGAGGACCAGGAGGATACAATCTTAAAGTTTCTTTCACTATGGCTTGAAGGTATATCAACTTACTTATATCAGACTCACTTATGCATTTATCTTTTCCAACTTCAATGTCTAATTCAGCTTTAGCATTTTCCAATACCGAAGGGTTTCTCAAAATCAAACATATTGCCCATGTAAGAACAGTATTACTTGTGTCGGCTCCTCCTGCAATTACCGCCTGCAAATCAAAAATGTGATATGAGGGCGTGTTCAAATGGTAGACATTGTCGAAGGATTATGCAAATTTTAGAAATGTATAGAAAATAAAATTATATATGTTATTATAATTAAGAACTTAATATCTAAACTATTTAAAAGATTATAGAAATATTTAAAAGTAAAACATAGATAATTTTAGAGTTAGGAAAATCTTAAATTATCTAGAATATTTAGGAGGGGTGGTGAATCAAGCTTATAAATACGCAATATTACTTATGTAACGAGTGTAAAAAAACTATTACAAATTCATGCATATTTTGTAATATTTCTAAGATCAATTACTATCTTCTCGTGTATAAACCTTTTCCTATTTGTTCATTTTTTTCTAAAAATTATTTTTTACACAAATCTCACTACTAAACATCAAATCATTTTTTCTATCCTTCCTAAAATACTAACAGTGGTACCAGAGCTACGTTTGATCATCTATTGGGTGTAGATACAATCCAACCACCTTCGAAAAGTCCTACTATATTTCATATCAATTACAACCAATGATTAATGTCAATTCTTCTTCATCTATTCCTCTACCTATCTTCACAGGAGAAAACTATAACTTTTGGAGCATTAAAATGAAGATCTTTTTTTGCTTTTAAGATCTGTGGGAGATTGTTGAAGATGACTTCATTACTCCTATAGACGTTTCTACATTAATAATAGCTCAGAAGAAAGAGTTGAAAGAGAACAAGTAAAAATATTTAAGGGCATTATACTTTCTACAACAAGCTGTGGTTGATGCAATTTTTCCAAGAATAATGGATGTCACAAGTGCCAAACAAGCATGGAGCACACTATAGGAGGAGTTTCAAGGAAGTGTAAAGATACACACCATTAAACTTCAAACTCTAAGACGTGAGTTTGAATTATTGAGTATGAAGAAGTTTGAGACCATTAAAGACTATTATACTAGAGTCAAAGAGATAATTAGTCAAATGAGAGCATGCGGGAAAAATATTATGGACAAGAAAAATTGTTAAAAAAAATTAATTTCTATTCCCCACAAATATGATGCAATTGTGACAACAATTGAACAAATCAAGGATCTGTCTACCTTATGATAGAACTAATAAGTTCTCTTGAAACATATGAGCAAAGATTGAAAATGTATAATGAATCTGTTGAAAATGTCTTTCAATCAAAGCTCAAATTACGGTCTCATAATAAAGAAATTGGAGGAAAGAAAATTGAAGAAATTTCTAGAAATAAAGAAAACTCTAGAAATTTCTCCAAGTCTAGTCAAGATAAATTTCCTCCTTGTGGCATCTGCAAAAAGTCAAGTCACTTGAAAAAAGATTGTTGGCATCGTGGAAAATCTTGATGCCAACATTGTAAGAAGTTTTGACATGTGGAGAATGTCGCATAAAAAACAAGCATCAAGCAAATTTTTATGAAAAACATGACCTTCAACAACATCTTTTCTATGCTACCCGAGATTCCAATGATGAAACAAGCGGAAATTGGTATTTTGATAGCGGATGCAGTAATCACATGACTAAAGACGAAAACATCTTCAAGGACACTAATAGAGTCAAAAGAAAGAGGCATTGATGCAGTGGAAACTAAGAAAGGTACGAGACTTATTAAAGATGTCTTACTTGTTTTCAATCTTAAAGAAAATCTCTTGAGCATTGAACAATTGACAAAGAAAGGTTATGCTCCTCACTTCAAAGGAGATACATACAAAATCTATGACCATAAAAGACGAGAGATAGGAGAAGTAAAAATGGAGAAAAGAAATAGAAGCTTTCCTATAAGCTTCAAATATACTATTGCTATTGCCATGAAAATTCAAGTTGATGATTTATGGCTTTGACATAGAAGGTTTGGACACTTCAACACTCAGGATTTGAAGCTACTACATTAGAAGAATATGATGAGAGGTCTCCCATACCTGAAAAAGAATAATGAAGCTTGTGAAGGATGTCTTCTCGGGAAGCAACACAGATTACCATTTTCAACCGACAAAGCATGGAGAGCAAAAGGTTTGTTGGAATTAGTCCATACAAACATCTGTGGATCGATGAGAACACCATCACTAAACAACAACAGATGCTTTATCATTTTCATTGATGACTTTTCTAGAATGATATGGGTTTACTTCATCAACAAAAAATCAGAAATCCTTGGAATATTCAATAAGTTTAAAGCTCTCGTCGAGAAACAAAGTGGAAGACACATAAAAGTTCTTAGAAGTGATCGAGGTAAAGAATATCACTCATATGAGTTTGATAAGTTTTGTGAAGATGAATGAATAGAAAGACAACTTACAGTTGCATATACACCACAAAAAAATAGTGTATCAGAAAGAAAGAATCATATAGTGATGGAGATGACAAGATCAATGTTGAAAGAGAAAGGTTTACCAAATATGTTTTGGACAGAAGCAATCTACACTACCGTGTATATACTCAATAGATGTCCAACTAAGGCAGTCCAAGACAAGACTCCAATTGAAGCTTGGAGTAGGCAAAAACCATCAGCTAAACACTTAAGAGTTTTTGGATATATCTACTACATACATGTGCCAGATTAGATAAGGCACAAATTAGAAGACAAGACTATACGAGGAATTTTTTTGGGATATAACACACAAACAAAAGACTATAGAATTTATAACTTGTAGACAAAGAAGCTCACCATCAGTCGAGATGTTAAGGTTGATGAAAATGCTTCTTGGAATTGGGAAGAATCATGAGAAACAACATCTTCCTTCTAGTACAACAATCCCAAGAAGAAATTCAAGAAGTGGCAAAAGATCCAGGTACACTTCCTTTATCTGCACAACAAGATTTTTCATCAGAATCTATTCCTGGGAGAGTAAGATCCTTGGTGGATATATATGAAACATGCAACATGACAATGCTTGAGCCTAAATGTTATGAAGAGGATGCAAAATAAGAAGTCTGGAACAAGGCAATGGAGGAAGAAATTAAAATGATCGAAAAAAATAATACTTGGAGCTAGTGGATTGCCCACATGGAAAGGACATAATTAGAGTAAAATAGATTTATAAAACAAAGTTCAATCCTGACGGCACCATACAAAAGCACAAGGCTAGGAATCGACTATAACGAGACATTTGTCCTAGTTTCTCGTCTATATACAATTAGAGCTTTAATAGCTCTTGTAGCACAAAAAGGATGTAGCATTCATCAATTAAATGTTAAATCAGCCTTTCTAAATGGTGTACTAGAAGAAGAGATATACGTGGAGCAACCACAAGGATTTATACACAAAGGAAATGAAGCCAAAGTGTTAAGGCTAAGAAAAGCACTATATGGCTTGAAGCAAGCTCCTTGAACATGGTACAATAGAATTGATCAATACTTTACTAATCAAGGATTCAAGAGGAGCAAGAGTGAGCCAACACTATATATCAAGACTCAAGGTCAATATGATATTCTCATTATCTCTATATATAAATGATGAGGCAACAATAAAGAAATAATAAGGGAATTCAAAGAAAACATGATGAAAATATTTGAAATGAGCGATCTTGGCTTGAAAAACTATTTTCTCGGCATAGAGGTAAGACAACAAAAGGAAGATATATTTATCTCTCAAAAGAAATACATCGAGGCTTTATTAAAGAAATTCAAGATGTATGGTTGCAAATTTGTGGTTACTCCACTCGTGACAAATAAGAAGTTATAAAAAGATGATGAAGCATCAGAAGCTTACACATCACGCTACAGAAGTTTGATTAGAAGCTTACTATATCTTACAGCTACATGACCAAATATCATGTATGCTACAAGCCTTCTATCAAGGTTCATGCAAAGACTAAGTCAAATTCACTTTGGAGCAGCAAAAAGGATTTTAAGATATCTACAAGACACAAAGGAATTTGGTATATGGTACAAAACTATAAACGACTCGAAGTTGATTGACTACACTGATAATGATTAGGCAGGATTTATAGATGACATGAAGAGTACATCATGCTATGTCTTATCACTTGGATAAGGATTTTTCTCTTGGGCATCTAAGAAGTAAGCAACAATAGCACATTCAACAACAAAGACATAGTTCATGACAACAACTGAAGCTACAAGTCAAGCTATATGACTCCGAAAAATATTTGAAGAGATGAGAAAACAACAACATGGATCTACTACAATTTACTGCGATAACAAGTCAGCAATAATAATGACAAAGAATCCAGTCCATCATCAAAGAACCACTACTAGAAAAATGTCAAATAGTAACCGAAATCAGTGACCGAAAAATTTAGTTACTATCAGTGACCGAATCAGTAACCAAATTATTATTTTTTAGTCTAGTAACCGAATTTTCGGTCACATAAAATCGGTTACTATTTCAATCACTTTATTATTTAATTTATTTTTTTAATTAATCTATATTTAATTTATGTAATTATTTTTGTTTTTCCGTGGTAATTTTTTATTTTTTTCACGCTGTAGGATCTGACCTAGGTACGAAAATTTCATCTTCGCGCCCCAAATTTTCTTCATCTTCCTCGCGTATTTCTTCATCTTCTTCATCTTCTTCGTGCATTAAATGACATTTTTATTCCTGGGTCGCACTAAGCGGATCGAGAGGTTGTTCCGCCCCTTGTCCCCAAATATGGGTAATATGTTCGCAAAAATTATTGCTCAAATCGACCTAGTTGGCGAGCGATCCTAGTTCGCAGCGAGAGAACAAGACAAGAAGCGAGCATACTTGTTCGAGCTTAACCTAGACCTTTCATTTGTCCATCCCCAAGCGAATTCCAAACTCAACCCCGACCTCAACCTCGACGAACTTGAGGCCCAAACCCATCTCCCAGCAAGCATCGAACCCTAATCCGAAGCCAAACTCCAGTCGTCGTGCGGTCAAACCCAACGCAAACCCAGCTGACCTCGAACCCTAACCCAAACCTCAACCACCTTGAATCCAAGCGACCCGCAACCGTGGCGACAATAAACACTATACAAAAAATCTTCTAAGTTGATTTAATCGATTGTTTCGCGATTCAATCGATTGAAATATTGCAAAACTTTCTTGTAAAACTTTTCAAGTTATTTTAACTGATAAAAATAAGTTTTAATCGATTAAAACGTTGTGCAGAAATTGTTTTAATCGATTGAAACCGAATTAATCGATTAAAGAGTTCTGATCGGTCATAATTGCATTCTGATCGATCATAATTGAAACGATATAATAGCGGTTCCAGGTTAACCGCTATCTAAAATGTACTTCGCTTGAGCGACAGTCTTCCCGCTCGAGCGAAACGCCCTCTGCACAAAATTGACATTCTCGGGTTGTATTTCGCTTGAGCGACTCTATTTTCGCTCGAGCGATGGTGCAACCGCTATTAGAAGTTCTCTTTTAAGAGCGGTTCCAGTGAAACCGCTATCATATAAAACGCTGTGTAGAAATTTTTAACTGATAAAAATAAGTTTTAATCGATTAAAACGCTTGCAGAAATTGTTTTAATCGATTGAAACGAGATTTAATCGATTAAAGCAGTTCGATCGGTCATAATCGCATTCTGATCGATCATAATTGAAACGATATAATAGCGGTTCCACGTTAACCGCTATCTAAGTGAGCTTTTAAGAGCGGTTCCTGTGTAACCGCTATCTTAAATGTATTTCGCTTGAGCGACACTCTTCTCGCTCGAGCGAAACGCCCCGCACAAAATTGACATTCTCGGGTTGTATTTCGCTTAAGCGACTCTAGTCTCGCTCGAGCGATATTTGATTCTGATCGATTAGATTTTCGAAATGATCGATCATATTTGATAATTTTTCAAATAATTAATTATAATCGATTAGTTTTCTAAATTATTGATTAGAATTGATTAGTTTTTCAAATAATAGATTAGAATTGATTAATTTCTAAATATATACTAAAAAATTATAATTAAAAATATAAATTAGTTAAGAATATTGACTATTGTAAAGATAAAGTAGAACATGGGAGGAGATGAGGATGATAATATAATGATAGAACTTACAAAAATGTAGAATTGAGAAGTTTGAAACAAATAAAATTAAGAAAATAGATATTTAATTACACTTTTAATAAATTTAAGATAATACTAGTTTTGATTTTTATTTTTAAATATTTATTTTAATTATTTAAAACAGAGAAACTATCATTTTAGTTTCTAGCTATCTGAATTTAAAGAATTAAATTTATTATTATTTAATCTTTTAATTTGTAGAATTAAACTCAATATAATTGTTAAAAATACTTTGTAGAGGCATTTGAGAAAGTTTTTGTCAAAATACTTTGTTTTTAATTGTTAAAAACATTTGTAGAGGCATTTTGCAAAATCTTTTAAGTGAAGAAACCTCATGCAACATAAATCTTTTAATTTTAGTATTAAAAATTTAAATTATATTTTATTAAATTAAAATAGTTACAATATATTTTTTTACTTTGAGAATGAACAATATAATTAAACTCAAAATTGACAATATTATAATACATTTTTGAACTCTTTTGGATTAATTTTTTTTCCTAATTTTTGATAAAGTTAATTTTAATATTTAAAAGTATTTAACATTTTGAATTCGAAAGGTTTTCTCTAATAGCAAATTTAAAAACATAATATTCAAAAAAATAGTTAATGTAAGTTTTCATTATGCATAATTGAGAAGATATGATAGCGGTTCCACGTTAACCGCTATCTAAAGTATAATTTAGATAGCGGTTAATGGTTAACTGCTATTAGAAGTGCAATTTAAGAGCGGTTCCACAAGAACCGCTATCTAAAATGTATTTCACTTGAGCGACAATATTCTCGCTCGAGCGAAACGCCCTGCACAAAATTGGCATTCTCGGGTTGTATTTCAGCTTGAGCGACACTACTCGCTCGAGCGAAATACGATTCTGATCGATCATAACTTGAAATGATCGATCATAATTGAGAGGATATAATAGCGGTTTCCTTATAACCGCTATCCGAAGTGTATATTAGATAGCGGTTAAGGCTTATACGATATCGAAGTGTATTTCGCTTGAGCGAGACTACTCTCGCTCAGCGAAATCCAATTTGATCGATTATATTTTCAAAATGATCGATCATATTTGATAATTTTTTCAAATAATTAATTATAATCGATTAGTTTTCTAAATTATTGATTAGAATTGATTAGTTTTTCAAATAATAGATTAGAATTGATTAATTTCAAAATATATACTAAAAAATTATAATTAAAACTATAAATTAGTTAAGAATATTGACTATTGTAAAGATAAAGTAGAACATGGGAGGAGATGAGGATGATAATATAATGATAGAACTTACAAAAATGTAGAATTGAGAAGTTTGAAACAAATAAAATTAAGAAAATAGATATTTAATTACACTTTTAATAAATTTAAGATAATACTAGTTTTGATTTTTATTTTTAAATATTTATTTTAATTATTTAAAACAGAGAAACTATAATTTTAGTTTCTAACTACTTGAATTTAAAGAATTAAATTTATTATTATTTAATCTTTTAATTTTAGTATTAAAATTTTAAATTATATTTTATTAAATTAAAATAATTACAATATATTTTTCTACTTTGAGAATGAACAATATAATTAAACTCAAAATTGACAATATTATAATATATTTTTGAACTCTTTTGGATTAATTTTTTTTCCTAATTTTTGATAAAGTTAATTTTAATATTTAAAAGTATTTAACATTTTGATATAATGAGCATGATAATATAATGATAGAATTTACAAAAATGTAGAATTGAGAAGTTTAAATTTTTTTTAAGAAAATAGAGATTTAATTATACTTTTAATAAATTTAAGATAATACTAGTTTTTAAATCTTTTTCTAATATTTGTTTTTAAAAATATAATATCATTTTTTAATATTTTATAGATTTTATATTTATATATTTATAAAAGTAATTGGATTAAATTTATTATCCTCTCATATATTATTATACATTTAGCGTAATTTTAGTTTATTTAAAAATTAGAATACAAATATACTATACCAATATACCATTATATTATTTTCATTGTATATAAATTACAAAATTAATAATTTGTATACTATACTATACTAACATATTATTTGTATACTATACTAATAGTATAATATACTATATTATAATATTATTTGTATACAAAACTAATATCTTTATATATAAATATATAAATATGGAAAGATATAAATATATGTAAAAATATAAACATATAAATATATATAAATATGTAAAGATATAAACATATATCTTTAATATTTTGTAAATGTAAATATAATTTATATATATTTTTAAATCTTTTTCTAATATTTATTTTTAAAAATATAATATTATTTTTAAAATTTAATATTTTTTTTCAAATATATAAATATATAAAGATATAAATGTATAAGGATATAAATAAATATATAAATATATCAATATATAAATATATCAAAATATAAAAATATAAATATATAAATATATTAATATATTAATATATAAATATATCAATATATAAATATATAAATATATATATATATATATATATATATATATACAAATATATCAACATATCAATATTATCCCCTCATATATTAATATACATTATGCTATATAAATATATCAATATATAAATATATCAATATTTAAATATATATTAAAATATATAAATATATTTTTATTTATAGATTTTATATTTATATATTTATACGGATATACATTTATTTGTATATAAATATAATTTATTTGTAAGTTATTATTAAAAGATCTTAGTAGCTTCAATGGTTGGAGTTTCAGTCTCTAACTCTAAAGTACTGGGTTCGAATCCTGATAATGACAATAAACCACCTAATAATAAGTTAATTTGTTATTGGTTAACTTTTTCATTGATTTAGTGACCGATTTGGTTATATATAATCGGTCACTAAAATCAGTGACCAAGGAAATAGTGACCGATTCCAGTTGGTCACTATTTCGGTCACTATTTTAATTAGTAACTGATTTTGCACATTTAGTGACCGAATTTTTGATCACTATTTGGTGTTTTTCTTGTAGTGAACAAACCATATAATTATTAAATATCACTTCATCAGAGAGGTTGAAGCTACTAAACAAATTCAACTTGAGTACTACACTACAGAAATCAAATTGCAGACATATTTACGAAGACACTACCAAAAGCTAAATTTGAACAATTACGTTTCATGTTTAGAGTTACAGGAATTTGCATCAAGAAAAGTGTTGAAAGATGATTCAAATTCTAGAAAGATATAGAAAATAAAATCATAGATGTTACTAGAATTAGGAACTTCATATGAGTATCTAGAATCTTTAGAAGATTTTAGAAATCTTTAAAAGTAGAAGATAGATAATTTTAGAGTTAAGAAAATCTAGAATTATCTAGAATATTTAGGAGGTGGTGGATCAAGTCTATAAATAGGCAATGTCATTTATGTAATGGGTATGAAAAATATAATACAAACTCCTGCATATCTGGTAACATTTCTAAGATCAATTACTATCTTCTCTCATACAAACCTTCTTTCATACAAATATTCTTCTATTTGTCCACATCTTTCTAAAAATTATTTTCTACACAAATCTCAATTCTAAACATCAAACTATCTTTCATATTCTTCCTAAAACAGTAAAAGACATCGATTAGAATTTTTCTATCTAAAAACTATTACAGTGTATTATTCAACTTTGATTTTCATACTACTGATGGTAAACCCACGAAGTAAAATGTATTTTTTTTTTTTAAGTATAGTCATCTGAAGTAAGTTACTAAAGAAAAATAACTGGTATAATTAGAGAACTACATTAATAATATATGTAAATATAAGTTTGTCTTCTATTTGTATGTTTAATTTTGTTAAAAATTCACATTTTGAAACGATTATAACGTGTTGTAATTTTTTTGGTAAGAAAATGTGCAAATTTAACATAGGCATACCAGTACAGTGGATTTGATCATAGTATCTGCATCTACCCCATCAATTGTTCTTCCATCAAGCAGGGAAATTATCACATCCATGAAATCTTGATCTCCATCAACCTCTTCACCCAAACTCTTGTGTTGTCTGTGTTCCTCTAACCACTCACTTAAAATACAATTCAATTCCTTGGCAGTTTCTTTCATGGTCTTCTCATGGCCTCCAAAATCAAACCATCTCAACCAAGGAATAGCATCTCCCACTGTGAACACCCCCAACAGACGCATGAGTTCATCCACAGCCTTCACACATCTCTGTGCCTTCTCATCATCCACGTTGTCAACCCCGAAATATCGCTTCCCAACGACCATTCGGAAAACCATGTTGAAAGCCAAGTGAGAAAACCATTGCTTCAGCTCCACCAACACATAGCCAGACTCGTTCTTTTGGCTACACCAAAGATTATAAAGCTCTTTGATGGAGTTCTGAACTTCTGAGACTCGAACATGCTGCAGCTTCTCCACTCGGCGACTAGAGAGGATCTCTAAAGTTGCAATCTTTCTTATTTCACGCCAATATGGACCATAGGGTGCAAACCCAAACATGGTTTGGTTGTAGGTCAAGTGTTCAACGGCAACAAGCTTGGGGCGAGAGGAAACGACCGTGTCGTTTGTGGTGAAACATTCCTTTGCTATTTCCCATTTGTTGATTACCAAAGCCTTTTTGGAACCAAATTTGATGCTGAAAATGGGTCCATATTTGTCAGCCAAAGCACCCAAGGTTTTGTGGGGTGTTTGTGATCCACTCAGCAATAGAACGTGACCAAGTATTGGCCAGGCACCTGCAACTGTGGGAGCCTCATTTCTTTGAAAAAATTTGAAGGGATTATACAAAAATAAACAGAAGAGAATTAGAGAAAGAAGTCCAATGGTAGTGGAATTGAGGTAATTTAGAACAAAATCCATTTGAGCTTGTGGATCGTTGGGCATGAACGTTATCTTAAAGATCATTAATTCACTGGTACCGAATGAAGGATAAGGTCAAGTGGATGGGTCGGTAAAGAGGAGGTTCATTTTTGTTTGTGGTAGAATAAGTCAATCGATGAACTACTTAAAAGTCATTTAGATAAGTTTCTGAGCAAAAGAAGTTGAGTTCTGTCATAATCCCATAGACATAATTCAATATGAACTCGTAGGTAACATGTTACATGCATATGCATGGTTAAGATAAGTAATTCATTTAATTATGTTAATTAGAATAATCAAGTTCTTGTGGATAAAATATTCTAAAACCCATTAAAATAATATAAATAAGTGATATTTTAAATTATGTATTGTTCATTTACTCAATTTTGATATATTTGTTGACTTGAACCTATTACTATAACTCAACGTGTATATCTTCATAAGGATTGATCGATTTTACAAAAAATAAGCTTGACATTTTTGAAACATTTGTACGGAGAGGAATAAATATTAAAGTTAAAATGCAAAATCAAGAGTTAATTTGCCCATGATTAATACATTAATTAAGTTAATATCACGTAATAATTTGCTATTATTAAACGTGCCCCACTAAATTATTTTTTATACACTAAATTTAGATCTGAAGATAAGGTTTAATATAGAAGTGGTGAGTACAGAAGATCATGAATAGTCCTTTTCAATTTATTGTCTTTGTAAAGAGAAGTCTGCAATATAATCTATCTTCAGAAAAAAAAAAATCTATTCACAGATTTGGCGAGTACAGGAGATGAATGGTCCTTTTCAATTTATTTTCTCTTTGTAAAGAAAAGTCATATAATCACAAGTACTGTATCTATATCTTCAGAAAAAAAAAAATCTATTCGACTTTATTTCTTTCTGTGATTATTATGTGCGTGTTCTTACAAAATATAAGATCTTTTATTTTAATTATTTTTAATTCATGCAATTGAGCTAATTTTACTCTCCTCTTTCTTATCGTTTAAAAAAAAATGAAGTTAGTATTTCAATTTTTAATATTTACTCTTGAGATAAATTTAATAAATGATATTTTTGTGAAAGTAATTATACAAGTTATAACAAGTATCATAAATCGTTAGGTGTTTGTTTATATTGAGAAAAATGAAAAAAAAAGAGAATTACATATATGAAGCTGCTAGTTAGCATGATCCAACTGTGAATGAATAGTGCTCCTTGTTTTGAAAAAGACAAACCAAATAAGATGACTATACACCAGCACAAAAAATGTTTTTTTACGTGACCTATATTTGTTGGATCCAAAAATATTTTTAAAAAATATAATAGTATTTTTGTAATTAAGGGATGCAAGTTTTACGTTGTTTCTCACATGGCTAACCATAAATGTCGTTTTTTATACTAAGGTGGCTTATAAATGTAAAAAGTGATTTTTATATCCATTATTTAAATTTTACCGTAAAAATCATGTTTTATTTTTATTCAAGACTTATTCTTTGTACATATGAGATTTTTTAATAATAATAATCATTCTAGCTCTTAGCTCTTACATTATGTCTCGTTAGTATTAACACGTTTCTTTTCGATTGAATTTAAGTTTTAGATCGTTTTTGTTATTAAATATCTCATCTTTTTTGTTATTAAAATTGAATTATTGTAGTTTGTGATTATCTATTTATTTATTTGAGTACATACATTTACGGTTTATACGCTGCATTTTAATATTCTCACAGTTTAGTTGTTTGAATATCATATTTTTTTGTTTTTTGTATCATTAGTAGAAAATTGACTTTTTATATCTATTATTTTGATCGTTTTACGTCACATATAAGTCCAACCAGGAGACGTAAATTTACGTTGATTGACATAACTTTACATTAATTATATCAATGATCAACGTCCACTAGATAAAATATAAAATAGATGTAAAAGAGTTTCAAAAATAAAAAAAATGGGACAAAATTTATGTCAAATGTTAAAACAAACCTAAATTTACGTTAATCAATCTACAAGGTACGGTCCATCTAACTTAAATTTACGTTTGTTATAGTTTGATCTAACATAAATTTCTTTTTTTTTATATTGAATTTGTTTTTTCTTACCACCAAACAAAATTTTGTTTTAATGTAGTTGATTTTAGGAAGCTAACGAGACTTTATATAAATATACTATTATAATTTTACCTGAGAGATGATAAAGAATAATATACAATTTATAATTTATAAAAAATTATTTGTTATCACTCGATAATGCACCTGGAAGTGTTGGAGCCTCTTTCTTCTTTCCTTGAGCAAATTTGAAGGGATTATGCAGAAACAAATAGAAGACGATTGCAGAAAGAAGAGCAATGGCAATGGTGTTAAGGTAGTTCAGCAGGAACTCCATTGAGGTATATTATACTCATTGTTATTCATTGTCACACTACTTATAGAGATGTGATAGATAATTTTGATTATAATTTTTTTTTATCTTATGACATGCGTAAAACAATTTTATATTTTATATAATCATTTTTTATAAATTATTATTAAAACGAAAGTGTATGTATTTAATATCTAAAATAGGTAATATTAATTAAAATTGTATCTTGAATTTTTTTGGTTAAATAAATAAAATATTAATATATCTTAATTACATCCATAATTTTAAAATTTTTAATAATGTTAAAATCATATATATTGAATCAAATTATACTTTATTGTCAATTTCATGGTTTTCTAAGCATTTACAATTATGTAAATTGAGGATCAATCAATAATAATCAAAGATCTGACATGCTATTTTTTATTTTGATTGACGAATATCAACGTTTTTATTTATAATTATATTAAATCACTTATTTTTATTATTATAAAATTATTAAAATATTTTTTAACTTAATTATAACATTTTGCTGTCATTTATGTGATTATTTTTTATTTAAAATGAAATTATAAAAAAATTAAAAATTGATTTTTTTAATTTAAAAATCAAATTATATCAAAATAGCCATTATTATTTTTAAAATTCACATTGTTTGGTACAAAAAAAATATAAAGAAGTAATAAAGAAAGAAAAAGTGTGTTAAAGTTTTTTTGTTATAGAAAAAATGGATCGAAATGGAAGTATACGTTTTTCTCTTCTCATATTTGATTGGGTAGAAAATAAGAGAGAGAAAAAATCTTTTTAATGATATAAATTCCCATAAAAAAGTAAAATATAATAAAAAGATAAAAAAATACTTTTCCTTTGTACTTCTTTCTTCTGGATCGTTTTCAACAGCAACAACACATAGTGTTAACTATGTTAAAAGTCGTCTTAAAAATGACTTTGAATAATTCGTACCATAAAACTATTAAATTGTTTCAAGTGGGGATTGAAATAAAGAAAGATAACAACATGCATTGATTACTCTTTTATTCTTACACAAAACGTTGGTTATTAGGAAAATGTCCATGTTTTGTTTTTATTCTTTACTGCAAGTTCTTCAGGAGTGCAAACGAGTTTGGTTATTAGGAAAATGTCCATGTTGTGTTATTTTTTCTTTCTTGTGTAAGTTCTTTACAATTGCAAACCAATGGATGTCAATATGGGTAATTTCTGCAGGAGTGTAAACGAGTACGAGTGTCATTATGAGTTATAACATGTGAGTCAACTTCTCTTCACATGTCTAAACAAGGTTAAGTTTAATTTTTTTCATTTTTATTGATAATAAATTAAAAATAACTCATTTCACATAATCCACGTGTTAAATAGGTTTAAATCGAATTATGGTGGGTTGATATATAATTCATGCTTATTTTAAATTTTTTAAAATAATTATAATAATTTAATAACTCTAATTAATATTATTATGTCTCTTTACTTCTATTTCATGCTACTACTATAAGTCAAACTCTCACTCAATTTTATCATCAATTATTCGTCATATTATATACCACTATGTTTCGATTGCGTCAGAATGGTTATTGTGTTTTAATTCCATATTTCAGTCACATCACACAATATTAGACGTGTCACCGCACCATAACAATTTTTAGTTCCTCATTTCAATCACATCGTATCATTATATTCATTATACCACTATATTCGTCAATGTCATCGTGCTTTTTAATCGTATCATAATTTTTATCATATCATAATATTTATTGTACCATTATTAGATAAAAAATTAAAATAAAAAAAAATATAAGTTAAAGAATCAACTCTTCAATGAATTGAACCAAAAATGATAAAATTTTTGGTTTATTGTAAAATAACTCGGGTTGATTTCATATATTTTCATCTCAGTCTGTCGTGAACAACCGAATGAACAGAATTGGCTCATTTTCATAGCCGTGCAAATCAGCACCACAAAATGTTGTCCTAGTCATGAAGTTTGGCAGAATTAGATAACTAGTTGATGCATCAACTTCGTCATCTTCTCGTCTAACTGCAACACGTTTAATCTTTGATTATTTAATAAAAAAGTTCTTCTTTTTTTATTATAAGAGAAGAAATACATTAAAAATTATCTACATATTTATTCATATTATCCTTAAATATATTATTTTATTTCATTATTTTTTATTTATAATCTATAATATTATACTTTTTTTTACTTAATAATTATATGTTTATATTATATATATATATATATAAGTTTATAATTAATTTTTTATTAATGCATAATCTTATTTTTTTATTAAGTGTTATTTTTAATTATTTATATTCAATTTCATTTATATTTAATTTTTATTTTCAATATAAACTTATATTAATTATTTTATATATGTATATAATCATGTAATTATGTTTTGAATATAGTTTTATAAATAAAATACTGAACCATAAAATTTTAAAAAAACATAATCGATCAAGTGAATTTATATAATCGATTGTATAATATAACTAATCAATTATATAAATAAGTAATCGATTATATTTTAAAAAAATATTATTATATTTATTATATATAATTAGTAATGATAATAATATATAATTATAGTTATAGGTGATTTTATAAATTTTTTTATAATAAAATTAAAATTATATTTAAATATAAATTTAAT